TGTAATGTAACTCTCCCATAAGGTGGCCGCCCAGTGGCACAGCGGTATATCTGCGGACTTACAACGCTAGAAACCTGGTTTCGATACTCGTGGTGGGCAGAGCACAGATAGCCCATTGTGTAGCTTTGTACTTAATTACAAACAAACAAACCCATAAGGTGTCAATTTGGAGCGCCATCTGCATTTGCAACTCCACACGCTCCGACTGATTTGTAACAAGAGAGTCGAATATTTTACGTGTGTAGTCACAGGTCATGGGGATGGCCAAGTGGAAGGTGATTAGATATGCAAATTGTAACCACAGATCGTGAAACAACCTTCTGTAGTTTTTCAAAATGATTATTGCTAAACTTCTGAAACGAGAGTTTATCGTTAAAAACTTGTGTCTAACTCCTATTTTATTCTTGAAATTTAAACCGAAATGCAGATGTAAATAATTAATTTGTTTTCATAATTTAGACATGACCTGGGACGATGCAGGTCGAGCGATTGCTCCTGATTTTCTAAACTACCGCTAGAGGACCAGATTACTTTCTTGGCCATTATACGCTTTCTTGGGCGTTATCTGCATTAAAGGTGTATCATACAGCGTTTCATACTGTCATCAAGCATAAAGGGTTGAGGGTTTAAGTGCTTAAAAAGTTTCAATTATTTAAATAAGCAACCAACAGTACTTCTTGCTTTCCAATCATTTAGAAATTATGATTTTATTTAAAGTTAATTCATAAGTTTATTTAGTAAGTACTTAACTTATTGTTCAACGGTTGTACTTTTACAGCTTTGAGAAATATTTAAACTAAATATAAGCATTAAAACACAACGTATTGCCTTCAACTATACTACGAGCATAGTTTGTGTGTGTGCGTGTGTTTGAGAGAGAAAGAAGATTACGTTAAAGAAAAGGTAAGATGATTACGAATAAGATTATTTTTAATCTGAACTTATGCTGTTGCATGTACTATTTACCAGTCCCCTTATACATATCCATTATTACCTAAAGGCCAAATTTTCCTGCGCTTCTCAGTTTATAGTACTCGAAAGAATACCACTTATTCAGGAAGGCATTCAGAGTAAAAATAAGAGTTCAACGTGTCTCAGTAGTTGGCGTCCCGGGCTGTGTATTTGAAGGCCCAAGGTTTAAGCCACGATGTCGCTGAACACGCTCCGAATTCTGGCTGTGGGTGCTAGATAAGTGCGACAGTTAATCCTTCTTATTCTTTTTAAAGCTGAACAAAGCCCTTGTAACGACGGGTGCTGCTGAGTAGCTGCCATCCTTCTAAATTATGGATAGCTATACCTTAGTTCTAGGGGTCTTTAACCTGCCGTGTAATCCATGTGCACATAAGGTACCGTCCAAGTTGGAAATACCATTACCAGAATAAAATTGCTTTTAATTTCAAGTGTTCATCCCATTCTTTTTTTTTTTTATATTCTAGGTGATTAACCATTATTTCCGTTAATTGCAACACGTTTCATCCTATACGTTTCTATCAACAACTTGTAGTGGTTAAGTACATTGGAATGTTAATGATTCACGTTGCAAACGTATGTTAATAAATTCTAATCTCGTTCGCGAGACAAGATAAAGGTCCCTTCACAACAAATAAATAAATAAATAAATTTGCTAAGTAATTCAACACCACGGACTGCATTAACATATTTAATTTACCCCCTGACAAGTTACATAATTTATTTCTTTTGATTCGTAAAGAAAAACTGCACGTAATACATCGTTATCTAATTAATTATCTACCATAACTTCGTACAGTAAAGTCCAATAACATCAACAAAAACTCAGGTCCAGTAAGGATCAACTCCAGGAAAGTTACTGAATACTGCGATGAGTTTATCCTGATATACGTAAGAAGGCATGCATTGATAAATTGTCTCATAAAACATAGATCAACTCCAGGAAAGTTACTGAATACTGCGATGAGTTTATCCTGATATACGTAAGAAGGCATGCATTGATAAATTGTCTCATAAAACATAGATACTTTCCGAAACACAAAAAACTAAAACATAAGAGTATGAATGAAAACGTAAATTGGTGGTACTCTTGAAACAACTATTGATTCCAACCTACAAGCTAGTACATAAATAACAATAGTGTTAATTTAATAGATAACCACATTTGACAATTTGAATGACCTTTTTACAAGTTCATTTGCTGTAGATAAACTATATCAATACATTAACATTGATTATCTACTTTGATTATTTGAATGTAGTTTTGTTGTTGTTGTTTTAACTTTGGGGGAATACCTTTATTATAACAGTAACCTTTCCTTGTCATCAACTCTTAACGGGAATTGTTTTGTTTTATTTTGAATTTCGCGCAAAGCTACACGAGGGCTATCTGCGCTAGCCGTCCCTAATTTAGCAGTGTAAGACTAGAGGGAAGGCAGCTAGTCATCACCACCCACCGTCAACTCTTGGGCTACTCTTTTACCAACGAATAGTGGGATTGACCGTCACCTTATAACGTCCCACGGCTGAAAGGGCGAGCATGTTTGGTGGGACGTGGATTCGAACCCCGCAACCCTCAGATTGCGAGTCGAGCGCCCTAACCACCTGGCCATGCCGGGCGCTCTTAGAAGGAAACGAGATCAAAAACGATGTAAATTCATACACAATAATTCACTTTAGATCAAAATTTTTTGAATGAATAAATATATGTTTGCATTATATTAGGAATAACAGTTTACCTTAAGTTTCTTTATGAATAAATTATAACAAATTATCTTATTAAGAAAAAGAACAACCTTCAAACTCTTAAAAATTTATTGTTGCTCTGCTCAGAGTCTGTTGTGTTATTATATGAATGTCTCAATCAATCTGTTTAGTATACGCTTTATTAAACCTCTTTATTAAGCTGCAAATAACACAACAATTTTAATTCTCCAGCGAAATGCTCTACCGGACTTTGTGGTATCATTAAGCCCTCGGGTGACGTCACTTGATTCATTGCGTTCCTGCGCCCTGTAGTTATCCGGTACCCGAGTTACAGATTAATAACTACGTAAAATTACTGTTAGCTGAGATAGATTCATTCTTTTACCTCTGGCCAATAACCAGAAACAATGAAATTTGATCATTGTGTGCTAATAAGTCAGTTAATACCAGTTGTAAATCATGCTGCACCGTGAAGGTTGTTCATTGGCTAGATAATTACTTAAGTAGCTCTTAGCAAACTAAACTGCAAGACGGTTCTTGTTTATTGTTGTTTCTAGGGTGATTAGTATCAGTTGCATAATTCACTAGTTATTATAATAAATCACATATTTGATTTTATATTTTTCTTGCCAATAGGCGACGTATCCGGGGTCACTGGGGTATGTGCCTCCCAATTTTGACCCGGGAGCAAAATTCCTCTTTAATGGGGGAATCGAGACTTTTGTATATCATGGAATGTTGCTGTTTGAGTTTTGATTTCAGTTGTTAAAGTTAACATAGCAAATAAGATGTCCCCAATCGTCGATGCTCCGCCCCTCGTCTAAGGGTTCACAGTTCATAACTCCCGCACTTTTAGGCTACAGATGCGCTATAAGAGTAATGGTCAAATCCCCCTCTTTGGTCAAACAGGAGTAACCCCAAAGTTGGCGTGGTGCTTTTGACTGGTACTTTAGAATTAAGAACGACTGTACCCAAATAGTCCTTATGTAGCTTTACACGAAAGTTTTTAAAACAAAATATTTATTAATAATATAATTCTACTCATAGGTCATTTTTGTATAATATTTACACAATTCTCATTTAATACTTTACTGGTAGTTTTGTTTCTTTAGCCTACTCAAATACGTGATGTTTTACGAGAGAATAAATAAATAAAACATTGGATTGTTCCGGCTGTGTTATTCAGAAAATGTTTTTTTTTAAAATATGAGTTATTTGCTCCCATTAAGAACTCAAAAACAGAAAACTTAAATAAATGTGATTTGTATTACTTTTAGGCAGCACAGAATGCTAGCGAGCGTGAAAACTCCCACGTTTTGGAAAATCAAAAAATGGAAGACAAAAATATCACACCATCGTCCACGCCATTTTTAGAAAGAATCGCCAGTGCGAGACACCAGTTTAGTAGTGATCGACTAATATCTGATGATGATGATCATGGCTCTGGTAAGTAAAAATACATTCATTTCTAGCATCTTATTATTTATCTTTGTTGCTTCCGTATCTTCGTATTTTCAAAGCGTAGGATAAAAATCACATTAATATTCATCAGATTTATAAAAATAACTATTAAAAATCGACAAACAGAAGTCCGTTAAGATTTGTTTTAACCTAACAACGAATAGTATTGAAATCAGAAGATATGTTAATAACGCGAATGTTACAGTGCTGATAATAAAGTAACTATAAAATGACCGCTATCCAAGTTACTAACACAACAACAACTCAGTAGCGCATACCTCCGCCACGCAGCTTTGATCATATTCGGCCCTCAAAAAATATGAAAATGTGTTCGTATTCCGTCGTTATCAACGGGCCATTTTGGTAGAATAATGAGACATAATAGTCTACATACGTTCACCAACTTTCATCAAGATCCGATCATTTTTGATTGAGTTATAGAGCAAACATAGTGTGAAAAATCGGTCCCCGTGTGAACAGAGGGATTTTTTTTTATTTTTGTGACCTTGACCCGCCAAAAACTAATCACTTCTAAGTTGGGTCATAGTCCAAATGTATACCAACTTTCGTCCAAATCCATTCAGTCGTTTTCAAGAAATCTTGCTGACAAACACACATACACACTCACACAGGGGTGAAAACATAACCTCGGTTAAGTAAGGCGATTTGAGTTGGAAAAATAATCAGAGATTTTTAAGGACGTTTGCACTAGATGAAGTTTCCAGAACTTTCGTTTAATTGCAAATAAATAAACCAGATTGAGTTATTCCAGTTATAACCAAGGAGCAAAATGAATAAATAATTGTATTCATATAGCATCAAAACAATTCTTACCCTATTTCTGATGTGCTTTGCATTAATAAAATACATGGAAAATTCAACTTTGCCATGTTAATGTTATTTTAGCGCAAAGCTACACAATAATTAGATAGTCTATTTGTTTCAGAATATTGTTGCTTGTATTTTTCAAGATGATTGGACAGTTTGTATAGAGTATTATGGACGGAGGTTATGTTCTCACCTCTATGTGTTTGTCAGTAAGATTTCTCAAAAATGGCTGAATGGATTTGGACAAAAGCTGGTATAAATTTGGATTATGACTCAACAGCGATTAGTTTTTGGAGGGTCAAGGTCAAATGCAAAATCACAGCAAAGGTCAAGAAAATCCAAACATGTGGACCGATTTTTCACACTATTTTTGCTCTATAACTCAGTCGCTTTAAAACCTTTACTATTGACTGCTAAGGCTGTACACATATACAAATCCACAAAAAGAAATAAGCACGTTAGACTTACAAGGAAAAGAAAATCCGCTCAAACCGGCCCGTTTTTAATTATTCTTATTATACTCTTGTCAGCCTATAACAAAAACGACTTAGTATATTGCACCCAAACCTTTTGTAGAATACTAAATAAGGCACTGCGAAGGTCGTAGGGGTATTGAAAAGTATCAGTTTCTATGTTATAGTTATAAAAATAAAAAGTATATTAAATTATAAGTGATACATTCATTGTTTAGTAAATGTCATACTGAACAAGAATGTTGAATAATTTTCATATAAAACTCGCTATCCCATAATGAAAATATTAAAGAAACAATAACAAAATAGTGGCTTATATTTAAAATAATGTTATTGAAAATATTTAAAATTGATTTAAGTTGCATAAAAATTATTTGTATATTTGGGTCCATTTCTGTTTGTTGCGCATTTGCTTTAGTAACAAAAAGCCTGGAATTTTTGTATGTTTGATCAAGTATGTTTTTTTTGTTGTAAATACATTTATTTTGTTAATTCTATAGAGTAATCAATTTTGTAATTTTGTGAATGTTTCCACACAATATGCATATGTTGCATATGACATATTTAATTAATTTTATATTTGTAATCTCATTTAAAAACTTCTGATGCTTCAGTGATGTAAACTGTTGATTAATAAAGCAAATAGCAAAAATGGTGGGAGTTGTGATACAGATATTGTCCGTTGAGTTTTCAGATAAAATTATATGTTTGGTGAGTTGTTTGTTGGTCAAATTCATCTTTCATTGTGTGGATTCCCTTTCTTTTGAATGCTTTACAAACTTGAGTTTGATCATTGTATTCAGACAAGAAAAACAAAAAATTTGGAATTTAAAAACCTGCAAATAGGAATCTTAAAAAAAAGTAAGGAAACAAGGTTGGAGATACTGCAGACATAATTTACTCAGACTACAAACCCCTATTTTGGCTCCCTGCTGTTACCTAGAATTACATTTGGTGGAGTCCAAATAGGGATTTGTAGTTTGAGTAAATAAGGTCTACAGTATCTTCAGCCTTGTTTCCTTACTTTTTACGACCCCTATTTGCAGGTTTTTCAATTCTCAATTTATTATTTATATTGTTTGTTGGCTTTTGTTGTTCTCAACTGTTGGCAAAGTATTACTTAATATGGTATCTCACTTTATACATTACAATGATAATAAACATAGCTATTAGCTAGCTGATATTGTTCATGATGATTTACTGTACCTATTGACTATTTGATCTCATTAGTTTGAGAAGTAAAACGTTAAGCTGGAGATGGAGATTGTCATGGAAAGTTTTGATAATATAGTTAGCATTTGTAGTTTCTGTGTTACTGAATTCTCTATATATAATGCATAGCAATGGGCAAATATATGCCTAGACAACCTCCACTAAGCTCGTATAAAATTTTACCAGTAGAAAAGCAGCCTTTTCATATAAAATATGTACCTCTAAAATATTGCTTTAACTAAACCTTTGTGTCTTTAAAAGTAATTATTCTGTGAATATGTGTATTGATTTTTTTACTCCTTCACTTCATACATAATATAGGGGTTGGCTCGCTAAAGACACCAATTTTATAGTGTATAAAGCATTGAGCATCTACATGTTACAGTCATCTAATGTTCATGTATTATTGGCTGGATCATCCTGTACTTAAGCTTTTCAAAGGAACACCAAATATTTATAAGAGAGCTAACTTCAAGGGGTAATGATAACCTCATTTACATTGGGATTATGGTGTCTTTTAGCTTATGTAAAATATAGAAGAAGCATATTGATAATTTTACTGTAAACTTATTTCTTTATTAGGACGTGTACCTGTAAAAATTGCTGTGAAAAAGGGAAAACATGAACTTAAACACCAGGAAAGGAGAAATCAGGTAATTCAGATTTACTTAATATTTTATATGCTGTATAATGCACTCATGTATGAAAAGTATGAAGTTTTCATAAGATATGCCTGACATTTTACTTAAATGTGTTTGTCTTAATACTGTTCAGAATGTCATTTACATGTTTGAAGCATAATTCATGGAAATAAAATTCAATAATTCAATAGTCATGATAAATTTATATCCACTTAGCTGCATATGAACAATGCTTCTATTATCTAACAATTCTATATTATTTTAATAAAACTTAAAATGTTTACCCTTTGTAATACATTTTAGCACTATACATGCTTAAATGCTTTACACGACACAAAACTAACATAATTCATATTAATATTTAAACAGTTATTAGTAGCAGGAATTACAGTTATAGATGCAAAAACTCTTTTTTAAGCTTCACTAAATTGCACGTCTATGACTCACAAAAAAACAATATTCAGAAGCCATATGGATGATTAATTACAATCTTATATCAAGTAAAGTATAATGTAATCAGTAAATTTTGTACATGTTCTTCTCACCCACAGTTAGCATAGTGCTAATTAAAGAAAGTATGTTACAAAAATATTACCATTATACAGCTTATTTATTTACATTACTATAAAACTAAAGATTTCATAAATCAAATAAACACTACAAATACCAACTGTACAGCATCTTTTTGATACAATGAGCAGAAAAAGGTCACGGTTTGCTCATTTCACATTGTGCATAAAAATAACTATTTAGAGGGTTTCAGATAAGACTAGAACCGTAGATATATTCTGCAAAAATTAAAGTAAGACTTAAAGTAACCCATACTGCATAATAAACATTACAAGCAATAAGTCTTGGTTTTGCCATTGCTAGCATCAAAATTGTAAGAAACCTATTAATAGCATAGAACTACCTAAAATGTGAAGTTACCAGTACAGAATATGTCCATTAATTGAAAACTATATATTTCACCAAAAATAGAAATATGTTGCAAGTGAAGGCTCACCAGATTTATTGAAAATCACTACTAGTCCAACCACTTTTGAGTAATCTCAGAAACAAAAGATATATCTGAAATGAGGTGGACAGCGTCAACAAATGTGTCCAGATTAAATTATTTTCTCATATTACAGCTGCTACCTGCTTGAATATGCTCAATTTCAACTAATACAAAAAATATAGTTATGATGAAGTGTAAATGCCACTTCCAATTGTAATACTAATTAATGTAAACTTACAATTACACCTAAAGCTTTAAGCTTGAGATATAGCATTTTCAACAAACAATAAATGGAAGGAAGTTCTAACAATATTTCATCAATGTTTTGCTTCACTAATATATATATAAAATTGGCCCACATTTACAAAAACTTCTATAAATAAACATCTTTAAGTAGCTTCTACTAATATCAACTTTAATACCTTCAAATAAACTTATTTATTTATTACCATAAATTTAAGTCATTTTTTTTGTTAACAATTTGTTTCATTTACTTTTTTATGTCCTAAAGGCTGCCATGAATAACCATAGAAGTAATAATAATAAAACACAGACTGTGAAAATAATAAATATTTAGTCCATTTATTTTAAATAAGACAGAGTTAATTTCTTCTACTATCAAAAATGACTTAAGTAATTATAAAATTTAGCATTCCTTCATTACACATTTTATAAAATCTAACATTTGATATTTTAGACTCATTTGAAAAACAAAATAAAACAAGATTTTTAAATGGGTTGACCAACATTATAAAATCAACAGTTCAACACATAATATTAATGTTAATATTGTTTCCAGCAAATGTTAAACTTTCAATATTTTAACTATCA